CGATGGGCAGCTGAGGAAAAGGGTCCAGACTCCAGCAGAGCCTCCTGCGCCTCCTCCCTTGTCCAAGGCTATTTACTGAGCTCTCCATTCCCATAGAGATGGGAGCTACAGGCCAGGCCCCAGGTTCTTGCCCATGGCTGCCAACCTCCCTCTGAGAATCAGGAAGTGGGGCCGCTGGCAGCTCAGCAGCACCCTGTACATTAAATATTTATCTTGGAGTCCAGGACAGAGCCCTAGAAAATAAGAGAAGCTCGAGCTGGTGAGGGGTATGACCAGGATTCCTGGAGTTGGAAGACCTTCAGCTTCACCATCTTTGGAGGACAAAGAAGAAAATGAAAGCGGTGAGGCCCTTCTTAGTGCCAAGGACCCTGACAGGTGGGAAAACTTGGGACTAGGGAAACGGGTACTTATTTTCCCCACGGGGCGGGAAGAGGCTGGTACCAAGGGGTGAGTAGGAGTGTCCCTGAGCTGCTCCACTTGGGCAGGCAGCCGCCTTCTGTAGGCACCGCCTGCCCACCCAACGCGTAAAGCTTCAGCTTCCCTGGAGAGGCAGAGAGCCTCAAAGGGGATCTGAAAGGTTTGTTATCTCATTAAATATTTATCTTGGAGTCCAGGTCAGAGCCATAGAGAATAAGAGCAGCTTGTAAGGTTGCCCTGCTCGGTGAAATAGTTGCCTTTGTAGAAGTCCTTCACTGTCAGCAGACTTGGAGTACAGTCATCACTTTTAAAATCTTCCTTGAAGCCCAGAACTGCTCCCTATGACCTCCTCTGCCAGCGCGGCCCGCCTGTTTCCACGGGCAACGGGCAAACACTGGGAGCCCTTGGCATGCCTATCTCGAGCCCTCCTCTGTGTGCTTGTTCCCACACAGCCAGAGCCCGGGGAAAGATAAGCTGACAGCAGTAAGGGCCGCAGGGCTGGAGGGTTGCTTCGTCTCTTCTCCACTCCCTTTCTTCTGGCTACTGAACGGTGCGCTTGAACGGCACTCCACGTTGCATGGTGACCCCGGGCACCAGTGGGACACCCCGTAGGTATCTGATAAATGGTCATTATTTCTATAACTTATCCCCAGTCACGCCCAATACTGAAGTTGATCAGTAACTACCAGTAGTTGGTTTGTTGGGGCAAGGGGATCCTTGCTAGAACTACTCCAGAGTCTGTTCCTACTGTCAGTAAATATTCATCAAGCGCCCTCAGTTTCTTTAACTGGTCCCGCACCACGCTGAGGCTGGGGAGAGGGAGGCACCTTGCCTGGGGGAGCCAGAGGGCGGGGCTGTAGGGCCACGTCAGAGCCGCGGGAACAGCGGAAAAGCAGGGAGATCAAACAAATCCGGTGTGTGGGAACACCAGGACCCTCTAACCTCATCTCCGCCCAGAGGACCTCACCCTCATCCTCTTAGGGGCACGACACGCCCCGGGAACCGCAGCCTTGGACCGATTTCCTCGGCCTTGGCACGTGTGTGCGCATCCGCACGTTCGCCAGCGCGCGCGCCTGTTTGTTTGCACACACCCGGCAGTGCTTGTTCGTGCAAATCCTCCCCAAGTGCGGGAAAGGGGAGGCGGCGGAGCCTTTCGGGCCACCCCGCCTGCAGAGCGACCTTATCTCGGTCCCAGCCAGTCTGCTCCTCCCGGGCGGGCGGTCAGCGGCGTATCTGGAACTCACTGATCGTTCTCGTTAATCCTTCCTGCCCCCTCGTCCTGGCTCCACACCCTGGAAATGTCGCTGGAAACTCTGAGCGGCCCTCGCCGGCCCGCCCCCTTCCCGACGCCAGCCTTGCGGAGAGGGCCCGGGGGAGGCGGCTGGGAACCCGAGCGGG